TCTTGTTGCCATGGTCTCGTGCCTCATGGCTTCATTGTCACACCCTCAAGCCTGAAATCCCTGACCCCGCAACCCTAGACCCCAAAACCCTAGGCCCTAAAAACGAAAACCCCTAAACCCTAAACTCCAAATCCTAAAGCCTTAAATCCTAGTAAACCCTACACCCTAAAGCCCCAATGCGTTGAAGCACAACGCCAGGAGTACGGGCAGACGTCGGAGAAAGGCCTCAACATCTTCGTGCTGAATACGCACGAGGCCATCGCGCAGCTTCCCTTCACACTGTTCCCTGGCTGTACCGACCTTTAGGGTTTTTAGGGTTTAGGATTTTTAGGGTTTAGGGTTTAGGGTTTAGGGTTTAGGGTTTGGGTTTTTAGGGTTTAGGGTTTTTAGGATTTAGGGTTTTTAGGGTTTAGGGTTTAGGGTGGGATCCCTACCTGTGAATCCAAAAACCTACCGTTTTAAGGGTTCGACCCTATGATTAAGGGGTCATAACCTACTATTTTGTTTGGTTTGGGGTCACAGGTAAACCCTGAACCACCCTGAACCCTTGAAGGTTCACGATTTACTGCTTGGGGGTGCCAGTGCATGCCATAGATGAGCGTTTTGTCACCGTTTCCGAAATTCGAGCTGCCCGCAAAGGAAAGCTGAGTCGGTGTTCTGTGTGCTTCAGAGATTTCCGAGACGTCTGGGGTTCAGAGTCATGTCAGCTGCTCTGGAAGGACCTAATTTCGGGAACCCGTTGGAATCCCGTAAAGCCCAAAGGAAGGTACCTTAACAGATAGATAGATCGATAGATAGGTAGATAGATAGATGGATAGAGCACGAGCGAGAGAGAAAGAGAGAGAGAGAGAGAGACACAGAGCGCGAGACAGAGAGTGAGAGAGAGAGAGAGCGAGAGAAAGAGAGAGAGAGAGAGATGTATGTATGTATATACATACACACTGATTGAGGACCCACCCAAAAGGCTACAACCCCGCCCCAAATCCTGGCTTTGGCACATGACTCCTCTGAGGCTTCCTAGGGGTTTTGGTGCCCACACCCTCAACCCTACACCCCCAACCCTAACACCTTAAACCCTAAACCCCTAAACCCCTAAACCCCTAAACCCCTAAACCCCTAAACCCCTAAACCCCTAAACCCTAAACCCCTAAGGATTTTGGTGCCGCTGAATGTTGCCTTTGGTCAAACCAACGGCCAGAGCCTCTTGGAGTACCTGCAGGCTCCCGAGAGTTAAGGCTCTATGGTAAAGGGGTACCTTATTTTGGGTTTAGGGTTTAGGGTTTAGGGTTTAGGGTTTAGGGTTTAGGGTTTATGGTAAAGGGGTACCTTATTTTGGGGTCCTTATAATAAGGATCCTACTATTTAGGGAGAAAAAGGTGTTAAGAACCGGGCTTGCGTCTGCTGCTTTTTCGGGTTTAGGGTTTAGGGTTTAGGAGTTTAGTGGTTTAGGGGTTTAGGGGTTTAGTGGTTTAGGAGTTTATATAGGGGTTTAGGAGTTTAGGGGTTTAGGAGTTTAGGGGTTTAGGGTTTTAGGTTTTAGGGGTGTAGGGTTTAGGGGCTTAGGTTTAGGGTTTTCTATCCGCGCGAACTATGAGTCCCTAAGTCCTATAACCTTTTGCGTGTCTGAAGAAGACTTTCCTGCGTGGTTTTAAGGTTTGGGGCAGGAGGGATTTGGAGGTGGCTGGGGGAGACTGTGATTTTGCAGGATGCTTGTGGGGGCATTACGCGCATTTCAGAATCAGAGCTTGCTTTCTCGCTCCCAGTGTTTGAGCTTAGTATGTAGACCCTAAACCTTGCACCCGAAACCCTGAACCCTAAACACCCCCCTACGCCCTCCACCCAACCAAACCCCACCCCTAAGCCCTAGCCCTTGGGACCTGTGTGTTGCGAGCTTTTGGGCATTCCGGAAGGATCCCCTAAACCCTAAACCCTAAACCCTAGCCTAAACCCTAAACCCTCGGCCCTAAACCCTAAACCCTTGACATTTCGATTTCAGGGTTTGCCCCACAGCCTGACCAAAGGCTAAACCCCAAACCCTAAACCCCAAAGCCCATGACGGGTTCCAAAAAAGGGTCTACAAGGGATGCTAAGGCTTACCTGTAGCCGGAAAGACCTAGCTTTTTAGGGTTCCTTATTATGGTTTCTATATTTAGTTCCTCAAAAAGGTAGGTCGTTTCGGTTACAGGTAGGGGCTTAATGGGTATTCTGGAGGGTCCTTGGAGAGTTCTACAAGGGTTTGCGGGTTTGAAGTGATTTCGGCTTCGAGGCTTTTTGAAGCGTTCTACAAGGGGCCAAAGGCCATCATGAGGGGTTGTGGAGTGGTTTGGTACCCTTCATCCTCTAACCTGAGCCCTAAACCCCAAACCCT